GTCCTCACACAGCTCAGTAATCAACAAATAAGTAAAGAAGTTTTTATATAAATTGCAAATTACAAGACCCAAATCATGCCAGCAATCTATTATACGCTTCATAGCAGTTAGCAAATTGTCAAGAACCATAAATAGACATTTCTCAAATTAAAAGCAGTTTCCTCACCACCTATTTTTGCGTCCATCTTGCCCTAGTAAAACATACCGAAAGTGAATAAATAGAAAATTGCAAGATTCACAACTACATCACAAAGAGAGCCAGCCATATCACAAGAAAATGAAAAAAATGAAATCGACAGTAACAAAATTATGCCTTAAGTCTTCTGCGCAAGGCTCTGCACTAGGCTTACTAACATTTTACCAAAAACGGCATTATCGCTGCTTACTTCCACGTTGTCGTCGGTTACGCGCATAATCACCAGGTCTTTTCTTGATCGCGTATGGCAGGTGAACATCTAAATCGAACGATAAACGTTTGAAAAAAGATCTAGAGACTGAAACAGAGAAAAAAACTACAGTAAGTTCAAATGGGAAAAACTCCACTAAAAAAAGCAAAACATTTCCAGTTTAAGAATGACTCACGCCATTTGGCATCTTGTAGGCGTTGATAACTGTCACATATCGTCACCGGATACTGGGGAGGCTATCGTAGCCGAGTGACGGTTGAGACCACCCATTCGACGTCGTTCCTTCTCCACCTCTTCATCCGGTATACGTATCGGTTGGACCTGCTCACCAATAGGAACCTGTAAAATGCCACACTTTTTAAGAAATTACTAAATCGAAAGAATGATTCAAGAATATACCTAACGGTGACAAGCTATAGATAGGAAATCAAAAAAAAACATTTTTCAGTACTGGTCATGATGACACTGGATGAAACTCTAATTCAGTAATTGAAAACCCTTTCGAGTTAGTGTGGTGGGCCATAACTTGGCGACTGATGCGCGCTAAGAAACAATAAGCTTCTGTATGCCCTGCTCAGTACGAATTGTGGGTATCACCTTAAACACTACGTTTACACTGGTGCTCATGAGCGACTGAGTAGGAACTGAGTAGGCCGTATCCTCTCAAACGCCACTTCGATTCTGAATGGAGTCGAACACATGGTGTATGCCAAAAAGGATTGATCACGTCGGAACCCTAATATTTTTTCCTTAGCCCTATCAACTATGAGAAGTTGGTGAAGCGACTAGACGCTTGTAATAAGTCATCACAAAAAAGCAAATAACGGAACAGTGAAAATGAAGCACAAGCGCACCTCAATCTCGCAACGCTTCTTCCTGTCTCGTTAGAATTCCTCGACAACCTCCACTCTACACGTCGTAAACTGTCACCCAAATCCACAGATAAATCAAGAGTGTGGGAAGCTCCAGCCGGCAAAACGTCTATCTAGAAGCCTCAAAATTGACACTAAAAAAGGCAGTGAATGCATTTTGTTACTAACCTCCATATTTCCTTTAATATCGAAACCTTCAGGTGGGTGAAAACTTGATCCCTTCTATAGCTTCATCCGTTGCATTGTGTAGATGGAAGCGTAGCGGAGTATACTGAGCATCGTTAATGCGTGGAAACGATAAAGACACTTCGATTCCATTGCCTTCTATGGTGTTGAGGATCGGACGTGATTCAGTCTAGAAGATTGCAACAATTTTGCAACGCCAATCTCAATCTTTTACATATAGTATTCCATCATGATGTCAAACGAAAACCATGTATATTGATTGAAGCGCACTCTGCCAAGTGTAGCCTTCTTTACGCTGTAAACAAAACACACTCACCAAACACTCAGGGTTCGATGATTTGGCGACTTCCACGCAGCGGAATAGTCCAGATCAAGCCAGGCAGATACCGCTCTAGGCTAGTCTCTGCTGCTGTTAGCTCAACTTTTTCTTAGGAGCGGTTGTATTCCATTTGTATGGTGGCGACGCGCCACCTGAAATCCGGACAGAGGCATTGTGATTCTGAAGAAAGCAGGATATCCTTTGTTTGAAAAGCTACACGAACTTCTGCTGTGTGGCTTTGACGATGGCGCTTTCACAGGCGCTTCATGTTCGCTTTCCTCTTCGGACTCGTCACTTTCGTCCTGCAAGAACTTATTTCGTATAATTTTACTAAAAATTATAAACAAGTCAAGGTCAAATTAGAAGTGTATTTCATCTCAACAAACCCTAAAAAGTTGGCAAATCTCTGATTAACTTCAATACTACACACACTCTACAAGCTTTTCCATTATGACGCATACCTCCATCATATTCCTCTTCAGCGCAAGTCTCACAATCGCTGGTCACCACACCTGTTTCCTCCTTCTTCCTCTTCTGCTTCAAACTGCTTGCCTCATCCTCATCTCTCTCGCTACTCTGTTCATTCTTCGATTCCTCTTCATCGTCAGCGCGGTCTTTGCCTCCTTCAGTACGTTGATGACTTCCTCTGGTGAGTTCGCTCCTCGCTACGCTAGACGCATCATGATGAAACGCTTAAAATGAACGGTGAAATTATTTTAGAAATGAATGCAGAGAAATAGAGCGATGTAACCAGTGACACACAGATCGTGGATATCCTGCCTTTATCTACCCGTCTCTATCATTTATCAACACAGTGGGCGCCCATTATTGCCCATGCAATGTAAAATCAAGTCAAAGCGACAAACCTGTGGAAAATTGGGCAGGTCTTGATATCTTGCACATCGTTGATTAAGAGCGTGTGACAAAGTTCCCCAGTTGGAACTGCTTCGCGTTCTAAAAAGCAGGATTAAATATGCACTTCAACTTACACGGGTGGAGATAGAGGAGACAGTTGCAGATAACGCGGATCAGTAAAGTTAAAGGCGAAGTCCGGAATTGAATGGTGTGTTATTAACCTTGAAAGTGACAGCAGAGATTTGAATTGTAACACCGGTAAGAAACCTCAACAAGGCAGAAAATACCCTCCCCTCCTCCTAATAGCAGCAAAGCGAACAAGCACCGGATTTGCGGGCGGGATCCATTGTGCTAGACGTGATGGTGGTGCCAAGAAGGGATAGGCTCTACGCTTGCGCACCCCTCCATATTTCTCGCGCAATGGCTTCATTTCGTCCAGAAATCTCGGACTTTGTCTTTATGTCGCGCAGCGTGACATGATGCTCAATTTTCTGACAATGCGTTCTTGAAATGTTCCGCAGTGAGCGGGCAAAAGCTCTTGTCCACGATCCCCATCGTTATCAGATTACGAAAGTATCCGGAATCGCCAAAAAGCTTAAAGCCATGTTATGTGCTCCCTATGCCTTCTTAAAGAAGATCGTGTTTTAGCAGATCGTGGCTATGGCTATCGTTTTGCCCCTACTACTCGATCCTACTAAACACTCTGGTGGGTCTCGCCAATCTGATCAACGGGTCTCATCACTTTATGCGACGCCCTTCGTTGATCTCCTATACCAGAAAATGAGTTTTTAGCCTAGTAAAGGCGCTCCTTCCAGTTCTCACCTTTGAAACTGCTCTGAAGTGCTGGTGCTGGCTTTTTAGACATGAAAATTTGTTCAGCGTGAGCAGCAAGAACGGTCGTGTTGAACAGAAGATTACGCAAAAATCGACATCTGAAATAGCAATTCAACGGCAATACATGGCAATATTTTCTTTTCTATTCCCTGTTGTTTCGCGATCGCAAAATGGAGGAGGGAACCCATTTGAAGTAGATTGTATGAAAGCGCTAACTTCACAAACACTATCCTGCTTAACTCCAAATGTTTTCCGGACTCCAAATTCCCGTTAGCGTACGGTAAAGGGCTCTCACTAGTCTACAATCGAGCAGCATAATTGTCCTCATTGAAAGGTCGACTTTCGACAAGCCCAACTCGCGCGGAAGGTGGGAACAACATGTAGCACTAAATGTCCTCGAAACATTACACTCAGTACATACCGCATTCCAAATGACGTTCTTTTTTCGAACAACATACTTAAACAAGCATACGACCACGAGCTTCTCACAGTGCAAACCATCCCCTACCATTGACTTAACGAGAATGATCAAGGAGAAGAAACGGAAGAGAACCAGTCCATTATGAGTCCCCTTCTTCTGAAAGTTGAGCGAACGTGAGAAGACAGAGACGCAGAACAAGAGTCACCGCGGGCAAAAGCGAGTAAACAGGCGAGCAAACGAGAAAGTGTGGATGGCAAACGAGACTCAGACATCTCAACTGTAAGTAGCTTTGCGAGAAGCACTCATTGTCAGTCCCTGGGAGCCTTAGCCCTCATTGTCCTTGCCACGCGTTTCGCGAAGCTGGCCCCATCCTTATGGTTGCAAGCCCAGCAACCTTCTTCAAGACAGGAACTTGTTCGGTGAATTAATTGCGAAATATGCATTTAACGCATTTGAAATCATGCAGCAATACGAGAAACAGCTAACTGTTCACAATATTTACCTGTCCCTAACATCATAGCTCAAGTCATATCTGGCCAACTGAAGTACATATTGGACAAGCTTTTCGCAGTCATCACGACGAATCATCCATAATTTTACGGCCAATTTGAGCGTTTCCACCTTTAACATAAACAGCTAGTAATGCATTTTCGCCGCAGAAGCGAAGAGGTTCAGGAACCAGAACAAACTATTGTTGCAAACGCATCACCTTCACAATTTCGTCTTCATTGACAAAATTCTTGGCCAAGATACGCAGGAGATCTGGGGCCAAATTTGGCACCTGAACAAGCCATAGGACATGAATAACCAACAGAAACCCAGTAATGCACAATGAGACAATAATATAATGATTTTCTCAAAACCTGCAAAATAAATGAAAGGAATATTACCGTTTCAACATGCGTCGCAATCAGCCATATGATGCAAGCTCTTGCGGGAGGAGCTTGAATTGATCTGATCAGACGAGCCAGACGAGACAGCAGCGCTACGGGAGCTTCGGCGTGCAGCAATCTTTAACCGGTAACCATCGAACATCTTTCCGAATCGCGAAAATGTAAATGCCTCACCTCTTTAAAACTATTACTGCAGAACAAACAACGTCCTCATTAGGAGAAGCGATCAGTTGGAACAAGTCCGGCCAGGCACTGCTCACTTACTGCCTTGACTCGAACAGCACATCTTCCGATTGCTTCAATAGCAGCCCCAGCCAAGTCGCTCGAGCTCACGTATGTCTAAGTATAAAAATTAAGGAGCTGAAAATGACAACAATAAGGAGACCGAGATTTCTGTCATTATGTGATGCGCCACGTTTTCGACATCATTTTAGGGTACGGGAAGTGTTTGAACAAAATTCACTCTCTTCAATTCAACTGATCCTAACAGCCAACCAAAATTGACTTCAAGGCCTTGTTTTCTCAGATATCAAAATCTACTAAGGCTTTGAGGAGCTGATTTTAATCACATGGAAGCAATAGGCACCGCTAAAAGATCCTTTGCATAACGTATTTCACAAAAAAAAACAATGGGCTAAATATATGGCTTCTGGGCCATCAATCAGGAAATGTGAAATTATTGTTCAATACACTGAAAAAAAAAAAGATTCCAGAAGTGTGCAAAGATTGAGAAAGAAGTCCAGCTTCTTCGAAAAATAATTACGCTGTCTTGAAAAGAAAGCAAATAAATAAAAACACCTAAACTCAAGAATGAACTCAGCTTTGTAGCTCTAGGGCATAATCGCGACTCCAAACCCCTAACGTTCTCACGCTCGCACACACAAGATTGTTGAGGAATCTCACCTGTAGCTCCCTCAAAATGACATGAACATTCGCTTCTGAAACCAGACTCGTCAAAATATGCAACTTCAGCTCTTTGACGAAGGACGGATCCGATGATCGTACAAAGAAGGACTTCAAGAATGGGTCGAACATATTCTGAACAAGAGAACTTAGTTCGCCGAAAACCGTATATTACACTGAAGAAACACACTGCAATCATCTATTCTAATCATTTTCGTGCATTATCTTTACTAAGCTACTTACGTAGAAAGCTGCTGAAGGCAAAATCACTAACTTTAGTGCCAGATGGTTGACCACATGCATGTCAAGTCATCATAGTTACACACACCAAACTGCTTACAATTATGACAAAAACGTGCACATCCTGATTCTGGAGATACTAGTAAAGATGGTAGACTAATTAGAAGTCTACCCCAATACAGTGCAAGACTACGGCGGTACGCCCGAACATTCCTTTCTCCTAATTCTTGCCTACTTTTGATATGGCATAGGTTCCAGGAAGTACCGGATTGCGCTCACAGATCGTCGCAATGTTCAGAAGAACAACATACTGCACTTCACGCGGTCCACGTAGGAGGCGCACCAACGCACGAGCGACCTGAGCAAATTCAATATTCACTGAAAGCTCAATACATAAAAAGAAAATGAAATTCGAGGCCCAAAATAATAACAGCAGAAAAACCACAAATTGGTGAAAATCAAAGGTTCAGCAAAGGAGTGAGGGAAACACTCAAACGGTCAGTAGTGAGGGTGTAGGGCAAAGCAATAACAACCGCAATTCCACGGTTTTTTATATCAAAGAATCAACATGAGTGTCCGACTGCTTAGGTGGATGTCACAAGAGACGTTTGCGCGAAGGCACCTTTTGCGCGAAGTACGCGAGCGTCAGTGTCCATTTGTACGCTTCAATTGTGGCTCAAAAGAGACCAACTATTTCAAGTAAATGCAGCAAGCACGAACATGCACCTTATTTTGTCACTGGTGGTCTTTATGGACGTGGATGTTCCCGAAGTTACGGCTTGAGTGATGGATGAGAACAGCTAGCCTTCAATCAACAGAGCACACCCCTGTGTTCAAGGAAGAAGTAGGATTCTACGGTAAGAACAAGTCTCGAAGAAGGAGAGGTTCACCTAGTGGACCGGACAAGGTGGACACTCTACCCGTGCCCGCCAACCCAACACCTACATCGCACGATGTGCCGCCCTGAGCGTATTATTACATGGTCCTCCCTTTGGGGCATGTTGGCCACGGAATAAGCTCCGACCATCTAATCACTCGGCCGCAGGTTCTATACGTTGGCGAAATATCAGAATAAGCAGAGAACATAGTGGTTACACTTTTGACTGCTCAATTGGATCACGTGGTGATCTGTACGTACAATTGCCCGGATAAGCAAAAGATGGTACAAATACCAGTCTGGGCGAATGTTCTTTTGCTCACAACTGCAGAGTCATTCTTCTGTGGAGGCAGCATAAGTGTTGTAAGGGGGCCACAACGTGAGAGTCGCATACAATGCGCAATTGAATGGGCGAAAAGGGCTCCTGTTCTCGGTTCGGGCCGTTTCCCATGGTTTTCTTCCCTCACCCATAGTTTCAATGAGATAACTTTTCATCGTAAAATCTGCCATGAACCGTTAAATTTGTAACCGCATGAACCGTGTTCGGCGTAGTAAGTATGTGCCGTCTGAGTAAGTAAAAATGCTAAGCACGCATTTCGAAGTACAGATAATTGAATACCTGAGAAAGCTGTGCTTTCGGAGCGGTGTAGTAGAACAACTGAGTGACTGCCATTACGACGCTGCAGTTCCGTGACTGTAACCAAAATATCCAGCATTAACCATAATTATCACGCAAAACTTATAAAGAAATGACTACAAAATAAGAGATTAGCCGCTATTCGTTCTGTACCTTTCGAGATTGTTAGGGGGAACTTTTACTCAATGAACTGACAATGTTTCTACTGGATCCTCGCTTTTAAGGCTGACAGTTCCACCGTTTGAGCGGGTTAGTCCACTACCATAAAAGAACATTAGCTAGTTATGAGCAATGTTAATGACCAACTAACTAACGCTCCGATATTTTATCCGACTAACCTGCTCCAACGGTGGAATGGTCGGTATCAGAAGACAACTACTCAGTCGAGACATAGGCCATTGACTTTACATGCTCTATCTAAGAACTCCGTAAGGCACAGAACCACTTATAACTTACATGCCGAGGTTGCAAGAATAGAGAAGCAAAAGAGACAAATGGTTTTCTCAATACTTGCGCTACCCTGGTTAACCACATCTAGGAGACAGAGCTCGGTGGCAGTTTTACGACAGGTAAAAAGTATAAAAGCACCTGTAAAAGAGGACGAGCCGAGTTGAGCAGCAGAGTGAGATCTACATCTGGTTGTGGCAGAAGTTCAGGATCAGCCAGCTCCGAGCGTGCGTATCTAGTCAGAAGATTTATCATCATGACCTAAAAGAAACACAAAAATCACCAGAAGACATTTTTGAGAGGTGATCACCTGGAAAGAAATCAAATACTCCTACCTGGCCCCACTCATCGACGTCTGCTAGAGCACGACACAGAGCTCGAAAGTGCTTATGAAGGAGATCCAAACGATTGGGACAGATCTATAAGAAATGATGAGCTGGTACAGGATAGGGAAATGAATTATATGAGGACGAAAGATTTTTCGAAAGGTTTCACCTCTTCAAAAGCGTAAACTGCACTACCCAAAACAAGACTACGTCTGTCCGCCAGAAGAAAATCAATACAATCAACCAGCTCCGTTTCCAACTCAGGATCCAAAGAGTACAGCTTGGGTATGGCATGAGCTGCGACCTAAACTAGGGGCGGGTAAAGATGAGAAACATCTCCGTGAATATGTGGTGAAAGTTAAAAACCGTCTAAATAGCAGAAAATTTCAAATGTACCTTTCTAACGTATGGGCTCATATCTCGAACAGAATCCTTGATGGCCAGCAGCATTATGGGAGCTATCATACCGACTCTGATAGACGACAACACACGAAGAGCGCTAGCCCTTATCAACTGATTGGGATCCTTAAGAATCAAATAGTAAAAAAAGTAAATACAAACAAAGAAGCTAGCATTCCTACAATGAAAAGCTATCAATCCAAACTACCTTTAGAGCTCTTTGGAACGTGCTTATTGACAATAGAGCCAGATCCTGTTGTTCTTCTGCATAACGTACAAGATAAACATAGACGAGCTTTTTCAACTGAAATCAACTTAATAATGGCCAGTATTACATACTTAAGTTCATTCTAACTTGGTATTAATAAAAATCAATCTACGTATGAGTGTCACAGCGACTAACCTCCACATTCTTGGCCGCAACGTTCTTGACGACAGCTGGAAAAAGCTCACTGACGTCTTTACCCTTTGCAATTAACTGAAGCAGAACAGAGATTAATCAAATGCACATCACATATCAACAGAGCCTTTCAATCAAAAACCACGAACATTAATGATACGTTTCATCGCGTCCACTTTCAGATTATCTTTGCTGCTGTCCAACATGGTTTTCAAATCGGCAAAGCGGCTAAATATTGTCAAATCAGTCAATTTTAGCACAGAATAAATCAAAATTGACAAAGAGCCCACAATAAAGTAAAAAAATGCAAAGTAATATAGATCTGCTACCAGTCCCTCCCCCCCCCAACTCTCCCCGATCCGAAATACAAGTGTGAGAAGAACTATTTCAGAACTGAACTACAGTGTGCACATTCTCAACCAACTAATTGCGCCGATCCCACGAGGAAATCATTAGCTATGATGATGTAGTTAAATCTTATAAATTTCAACAGGAACCTTAGGAAAAGAGATTTTAGCAGAGAAAAAAGAAGAAACCTACGTTCTGTTATCGAGAATGACTCCTCCTTCCGAGATCTCCATTTCTGGACTGGTAAGGCCCTCAGGAAAGGCCATCCTCATCTAGGAACGAATGGTGCAGCGAAAATGCCAAGCAACCATAAATGAGTATTCGCTCGAGTAATAAAGCACAGTGGTAAATATACCGTCGAGGGAAGAGCAATAAACTCATGAAACAAAAAGTGGTAAAATATTTAATATTTATCCAGTAAATCGATTATAGAAGGCAATTCATCAATTTCCAAAGATAAATAATTCATGACGGAGGATATAGTGAATACTCGCAGAAGAAAACAAGACCTTCTGAGGAACCCGCAAAATACCGGTGATGAAAACAACGTGACAGAATAAAAATGAAGTGAGAGACCTTTCACAAGATCTTAAAGCTACTGAAATCTCACGAATTGTATGCTCCAACGGCCAATAACAAATTTCGACGTGTGAAATGGAGTCCAATAACTGCAGTCTGCATAGTTGGGTAGGTGAAAATATTAAAATTTGGCATGTTGATCCTGAAAATGAATTATACATTCATTGTTTCGAACCGCCTGAATGTTTCGTTGCAAATGCACAAGGCAAGGTGCACATTCGTACCCCAACCCCTTTGAAAAGCAGTATCCAACTTGAGATAAAACAAGTCGCTAGGGTGATAAATAAAAACGGAATGGACAAGGCAATTATCATCAAACGAAAAAAAAAGTGTAGTAGCGAAAATGAGTATTAAATCACGAGCGAATTAAAAAGAATTATATATCTAATAAAAAGAACCAACTTCGGATCGAAACAAAGCTCGTTGTTACTTGAAACGCTGCTGGTTGCGGCGATCAAGTTGTCCAAAGAATACACGGATAATGATTCTCCACCTTGCGAGACAGCAAAAGAACCGCCATCGCGAGAGAAGCAAATGGAGCCCTAATGAGAAACATTTCAAATAACCCTATTATATATAGTAAGAC